TCACACAGGTCTATATTGTGAGCGTATTTCACACAGGTCTATATTGTGAGCGTATATCACACCAGTCTATATTGTGAGCGTATATCACACCAGTCTATATTGTGAGTGTATATCACACAGGTCTGTATGTGAGTGTATTTCACACAGATTTGTATGTGAGTGTATTTCACACAGGTCTGTATTGTGAGTGTATTTCACACAGGTCTGTATTGTGAGTGTATTTCACACAGGACTGTATTGTGCTTGTATTTCACACAGGACTATATTGTGAATGTATGTTACGCAGGTCTGTATTGTGAGCGTATTTCACACAGGTCTATATTGTGAGCGTATTTCACACAGGTCTATATTGTGAGTGTATTTCACACAGGTCTATATTGTGAGTGTATTTTACGCAGGTCTATATTGTGAGTGTATTTTACGCAGGTCTATATTGTGAGCGTATTTTACGCAGGTCTATATTGTGAGCGTATTTTACGCAGGTCTATATTGTGAGCGTATTTTACGCAGGTCTATATTGTGAGTGTATTTTACGCAGGTCTGTATTGTGAGTGTATTTTACGCAGGTCTGTATTGTGAGTGTATTTTCGCAGGTCTATATTGTGAGTGTATTTCACACAGGTCTATATTGTGAGTGTATTTTAAACACGGGTCTATATTGTGAGTGTATTTTAAACACGGGTCTATATTGTGAGTGTATTTTAAACACGGGTCTATATTGTGCACGTATTTTAAACACGGGTCTATTTTGTGCGCGTATTTTAAACACGGGGCTATATTGTGAGCGTTTTTTAAACACGGGTCTATATTGTAAGCGTATTTCAAACAAACAAAGCCATTGCAGGAAATGAAGAAGTAATATAAGATCAAAGTCTTAATAAAGGGCGAGTAAATTGATTCGAACCTAAAGTGCCTAAAGTTTTGTAAAGGTAAGTTGGATCCATGTTAATAAAATAAACAATAGTTTTGTAAAGGTAAGTTGGATCCATGTTAATAAAATAAACAATAGTTTTGTAAAGGTAAGTTGGAAGGGCCCAGACTAGAAGTATTTTCTGTTATCCTTCCTTATTCGATCTGATTTGATTGGTTAGAGTAATTTACAGTATTATATTTAGAATAAGTGTAAGTATTCTGTTTAAGCAAGGAGAGAATTATAAACAGTACATAGAAAACAATATGGAGCTTTGTTGTAGCTGAATCTAGAATTAAAAATTAGTAATGATGTTTTGTTCAGTAAAACCTGTTTGTACTTATTTTATGGTAATAAAAAGTTCTTGATGTACTATCAATTAAAAAGTAGTGATACCTAAAAATGTAGGCTAAAAGTGAATATACAAAGGGTTTATACTTTTTATATTATGACGTGTCATAGGTTCATCACAGAAATTAATCGACGTGGAAAGCAGTTACTTCAAGAACTGAATGAAGTGTGTAGTCATAAGAAGAGACAGCTGACAGTGAAGAATGAAGAGCTAGTGTCGTTTTGCCAGAGGCTTCAACATTGTCAGAAGTTTGCTGAAGCTGTCGTTAATAAGGGCAGTGATATTGCTCTTGTATATAGTAAGAAGGCAATATCTGAACAGGTGAGATGACATTTGTTGTCATAATTTTACCAGACAATGTTTCGGCTGTAATTTGTAATTATAGTAAGAAGGCTATATCTGAACAGGTGAGATGACATTTTTAGTCATAATTTTACCAGACAATGTTTCGGCTGTAATTTGTAATTATAGTAAGAAGGCTATATCTGAACAGGTGAGATGACATTTTTAGTCATAATTTTACTGTACAATGTTTCGGCTGTAATTTGTAATTATAGTAAGAAGGCTATATCTGAACAGGTGAGATGACATTTTTAGTCATAATTTTACTGTACAATGTTTCGGCTGTAATTTGTAATTAATTGTACTTTTTAATTTTATTGCTGGTTAATAAAGTGACATTTTCATATAATCACCAGTGGCTTGATAATGTGATGGTTACATCCTCACCAGAGATACTGTGAAGTGGAAGCTGGTAAAATCTGCCATTTATAGGATCAGTAAGATATAAACATTTGTTATAAAACTGTAGTTACTGAACTTTGCCATTATCAAAGATTTTAATGCTGAAATTTAATGTTGATATTCTAGACAAATAAAACTCTCTGAATTAGTTGCTGATATACAGTACTTTTTGTGTCATTTAATTTTTTCAATAAATTGATATAGAAAATTAAATAAGAACCTGAAAAAATCAGTTGAATTTAAATAAAAACAATTACTAGACATTAAAGTAGACCAAAGTACATAGTTATGTAAATTACTGTAAAGAAATGTTGGTAGAACAAAGTACATAGTTATGTAAACTACTGTAAAGAAATGTTGGTAGATCAAAGTACATAGTTATGTAAACTACTATAAAGAAATGTTGGTAGAACAAAGTACATAGTTATGTAAACTACTGTAAAGAAATGTTGGTAGACCAAAGTACATAGTTATGTAAACTACTGTAAAGAAATGTTGGTAGACCAAAGTACATAGTTATGTAAACTACTGTAAAGAAATATTGGTAGACCAAAGTACATAGTCATGTAAACTACTGTAAAGAAATGTTGGTAGAACATAGTACATAGTTATGTAAACTACTGTAAAGAAATGTTGGTGGTTACCAGCATTTCTTTATAGTAGTTTACATAGCTATGTACTTTGGTCTAAAGTACATAGTTAT